TTGCTTTTACCCTATTCTAATCTGTTGTGGTTTTGGATAAAGTCGTAAATGTGTGATTTATGAATGGTATGTTAACGTTATCGACTCCATGTTTGTTTCAGGAGGAGGCGACAGCAATTAAGGCAGCAGGCAAAGCATGGTATCGGACCATGATATCCGACAGCGATTACACAGAGTTTGAGAACTTCTCAAAGTGGTTGGGTGTGTCTCAGTATGTTAGTTTTCGTTTTAGTAATATGAGAACTCGTCTGAATGTTTTGCTTTAGACTCCTTTTTGATGTTGTCTACTTAGAGTTTTTGTCTGTGGTGGAAAGAAGGGAATTGGTGAAATATCCCTTCTTTTCTCCAAATCTCTTCTCCAACTTCATTGCCTATGTACTTAATCTATGAAGGTAAGATTTGATGATCAAACTTTGGAGGGTCTTGCAGTCCTCCATTTGACTTGGGACAGGTTAACTGTTCTTCCTCTAGAAATCAAATCAATTCATGTTAAAAGCAAAACCCAAACCATTGTGAATAAATGTCAAAACTCTAACATATCCCTCTACACGAAAGGGCCATTGTCTTTTTAAATCACAACCCTTAATGGCCTAGTAGGAATTTCTCACGTTTTAGAGAAAGTGAGTCAGAAGTCGCGTTTTGCAAAGACGAATTCCATCATTTCTCGCGTTCTGCAAAAAGCGAATTCCATGCATTCTCGCGATCTGCAAAAAGCGATTCCATGCATTTCTTCTCGCGTCCAAGTTCTTTTACGTCGATAGAAAAAAGCAGAAGAACAGCTAAGAAGAAGGGGAAAAAAAAACTCAGGAGGCAGGAAAACTCGATGTTCAATTCATAATTATCATCCGTTCGAAAGAACCCTCTCACCAATATGATTCTTAACCTACGTGTCAAATGTCTAATAAACCTCTGGTTTAACTCACATAAACGTTGCCGTTTTATTTAATTACAAAACTTGTTACGTATAAATGTTCAACGAATTGTTCGTCAATTATTTATATATATTTATTTATTAATTTAAATAATTAATACAAATAAATTCTACATGTTTATTTAATAAATAAATCAACAATAACAGATGTGTTTTCACTATTCGGTTTGTTTATATTTACGATTAGTTTATTTATCAAATCTTTTATAAGTTTGTTAAACACCTATATTGAATTGAAAAAAATAGATACTAAAATGAAAAAAAAAAGTATAATTTAGATATTTTTTTAAAGGGAAAAGTACATAAATGGTCCCCCAACTATTGGGTCTACTATATTGAGTCCCCTGACTATTAAAAGTTATAAAATGGTCTCTTGACTATAGTGCTTGTTGAGTCCTTTGACTATTAAAAGTTATAAAATGGTCACCCGACTATTCATTTTTTTCCAAACTCGTCATTTTCCGTTAAAAATTAACGACAGTCTGAGCTGGATGTTAATTTGTTGTCTGATATATGATAGTCGTTTGAAATTCTATGATCAAATTTTATCATATCTCAAACAGTAAATTAACATCTAGCTCAGACTGACGTCAATTTTTAACGAAAATGGATAAATTTGGAACATAATGAATAGTCGGGTAATCATTTTGTAGCTTTTAATAGTCGGAGAACTCAATAAAGCAACATCATAAAGTCGAGGGATCATTTATAACTTTTATAGTCAAGAGACTCAACAAAGTAACACCCTATAGTCGATGAATCATTTATATACTTTATTCTTTTTTATTGAGCCTAATATTAATTATGTACTTTATATATATATTTGATTAAGCTAAGGTTGTTACAAAGTAGTATATGTTCTAAATACTCTCAACAATTTGACAATAGACGTTCAATCACCCTGCTGGAATCGCTGGTGCTCGAACCCGTAGCCTCTAAGAACAATAATGATTCCTTTAATCACTGAGGTAAGTTGGTTCGTGCTTTTTATATTTATATGTATATCATTGCATTGATTGTTTAAATAATTAAATATAGTATGGTATCTTTCACGTTGGTCAACAAAAGTTAACCCAACAATCTTTGAAAACGTTGAGCTATCTTTATCTTATACATGTATGGTTGTTAGACACCATGCCAATAAATAAGCCACTAAATTCGTTAAAGATGTGTCGTTTTAAACTCCTTAAATTCCATCCCATTTTGCATCACATTTAAGAAAAGACTTGTTATTGTTGTTGCTCGGGTTTTAAGATGAAGACGATAGAAATCGATCTCGTTACGTTCTCGTTGACGTTGATTCTCTCGATCCAGTTTGCGGCGGGAGATGTTGCTGAAGGCACGAAAGACGATGTAATACAACTTCCTTCTGAAGCGACAAAAATTATATCCGAAGAACTCGAGGGAGCCTCCGAAAAAGGACTCGTGAAGGATATGGGTGATCATTTCGTCCTGACGTTTTCCCCACAACAAGAGGATGAATTTTTCACTAAAATAATCACGAGAATCGTAACGGAAATGAGACGAAACAGATTGCCGAATTACCAAGTATGAAAGACGCACTTTTTCGAAAGGGTCTAAAACTATGGACCCCGGGACTAAAGCCGAGTTCATTCGAACCATAAAAGATGCAATGAATAACGCAAATATAATCGAGCATAGAGCAAAACATGCGCTCTAATTGCTTTGATTGATGCACCGGCGAGGCTATGAAATTTCATGTGAAATGTTATAAGTGACAAGTTAAATGTATATTTTCAGTATTGATCAATTCAAATAGATACCTATTTGAATAATTATGTTTTTTTATGTACCATAATTTCTAATAGATAATGAAACTGGGTTTTATTGTAATTTTAATTATTTATTGATAATTTTTTCAAGTAAGAATTGTTATAGAGTAATTTCGTACCCTGAAGTGCGGGTTAAATTTTTGAAAACTTGGATTAAACTAGACAGATTGAAATTTCAGGGCTAAACTGAGTAAAATATGAACTTTTTGGGGTAAATTCAGACTTTTTGAAAGTTCTACGTCACTTTCATAACCTAAAATTTTGGAATTTACATGGAATGCCCTTTAAATTTTACATTTTTCTATTTCTATAATAAAGAGGGGGAGATTCTACGTCGAACGAGATCAATCCGTACCTAGTGTTAGTGTTGTAAATGAGACGAGATTGTGAGCTACTCGAGATTGACTCCGTCAAAGCTCAATAAATACTCGATTCGAATAGACTTGAGCTCGACTCAAGTTCTTAATGAGCTTAAACAAGCTACCTCATACTTAACTCGAAAAGTTTACGAGCAACTCGAAAATATAATATATTAAGATTTTATTTTTTAAAAATAAATTATTAAGAATATTACCATGTTTTCATTTATTTAATGTTCAGGTTTGAGTTCGAGTTTGAGCTTCAATCGAGTTAATTTTAAGTTTTTTTTTCATTTCGAACTTTTACGAGCTTCAATTCATGGTTTCAAGTTCGAGTCGAGCTGAAAAATTTTAGGCTCACAAATTTTGAGCCGAATAGAGCTCAATTTTTTAGTTTTTGAGTTGAATTCGATTTGTTTACAGCCCTACTTAGCTCCTTCACATGCTAATTTTAAGGGCCAACTAATGGATAAAATTAATAAATGTGTATGTAATTTTAATTCAACCTAAAATTTATTATTAAATCGTGAAGGTTGAATGACCCTTAAGTAAATGGGTAAAATATACAAATGGTCTCTAGACTATGTGATATTATTTTATTAAGTCTCTCGACTATTAAAAGTTATAAAATAGTTCTTCGACTATAAGGTAATATTTTGTTGAGTCCATCGACTATTAAAAGTTACAAAATGGACACTCGAGTATTCATATGTTCCAAACTCATATTTTTTCGTTAAAAATTGGCTATCACCCTCGTTAGACATTAACTTGTTGACTAAGATATAATAAAATTTAGTTTAATGATGTCTATTGGAACCACCGTTGCTTTCAAGCACCAATTTGACGGTATAATGTTTCAAGAACTAGCTCGATAACATTGTGTAAACGAAGAGTTGATCCATAAAATACAACTCAAACGATTCTGGAATCAAATTTTATCATATCATAGTCAACACGTTAACCCAACCGAATTACCCAAATTTCATTAATTGTTTTTTTCCTTTAACTGTTAACCAAATCGAATTTTATTTTTTTTAACTAAACCGAATTAAGTTCGGTTAATTTGGTTAAAACTGAGTTAAAACACCCCTAAAGCTAAATAATATATATATAATATTAAATATTTAATAATTTTGGTTAATTCGGTTAATTAACTAATTTCGAATCGAATTAATCGAAATCGAAGTTTGAAAAAATCATTAACCGTTAACTGACCGAACCCAAAATTAACAGACCGAAATTTCAATTCGGTTGGTTAATTCGGGTTTACCAGAACAATGAACACCCTTAATTAATATCCAGCTTGAACGATCACAAATTTTTTTAACGCAAATTGATGAGTTATAAACATCTGAATAATCGAATGAACATTCTGTAACTTTTGATAATCAGGGGACACAATAAAGCAATGTATTATAGTCGGGGATCATTTCATAACTTTTAATAATTAAGGAACTCAACAAATGTCCTATAGTGTTTGGGAAAATTACGCGTTTAGCACTTAAACTATCCGTTTTGATCCAATTTAGTACTTGAACTTTCAATTTTTCCAAAACCATACCTAAAATTTGCTTTTTGTTTCATTTTAGTACCCACCGTTAAAAACTTTAGTTTTTGTTTCACTCTAGTACCCCGTTCAAAATTTAATGTTAATTTTGAAAAGATTGAAAGTTAAGGTACTAAAACGGATCAAAATTGATAGTTTAGGTATCAAATACGTTAAGTTTTTAACTACGGATTACTAAAATGAAATGAAAACCATTAGGTATGATTTAAAAAAATAAATATTTAGGTACTAACACTGATATTTTAAGTACTAAACGCGTAATTTACCCTTTTTTTACACAAACTGAAAATATATCATAAACCATGAAACATATCGAGCAGAGCTATATGCAACCTGTAAAACATGTTCATCTACTTTTGGCCTTTCTTCCATAAAACACCAATCTTTTTCAACATGTTGCCATTTTTCTTTTTTGGTGAATCATCATCAATGTCTTCTGAGTTCAGAGAACCCGGCATCGGATTACGGTTGGTGTCGAAAGATATGATCTGGTCCATTTGTTTCCTACTATTCCCTGTAGAAAGAATGGCAGTGGCTGCTTCTGCTACTTTTCTCCATTGTTCTGACTGAACCTTTATTCTCCTTAACTCTGCCTCCATTTCCTTGATTGCTGCTCGAGACGATTCGAGCTGTTCGGTCAAGAGTGCTGCTCTTTCGCTCCTCTTTTCGGCTGCTTTGGTTAAATTGTCGAGTTTCTTCAGGTCTCTTGCTCTGCAGACCTTGCTGCTTCTAGTAGCACAACAGATTCATCACTAGTTTATTGCTATCCAGTTTGAGCTTTTCGTTTGCTCGGTTACACTCTGAAGCTTGATTTCTTTGGCTGTTAAATTCGCTTTCGATTCGGCTAAATCGGCCTCTAACTTCTTAAACTCCATTGCAAGTTCCAATTGTTGCCCGATCTTCGAATTCAGCTCCTCGTTTTTAGTGGAAATACTCAGCAATTCAGTCTCCTTATCCATTGATTTGGCTCTCGATTCTTCGACTTCGGCTTTTGTTTTCTTTAATTCCGCTTCGAGTTCCGACTCCCTCTGGCATGATTGTGTTCGTATGCGTTCCACTTGCTCGCTAAGTTTATTGCTATCCAGTTTGAGCTCTTCGTTTTCCTCGGTTACACTCTGCAGCTTGATTTCTTTGGCTGTTAAATTCGCTTTGATTCGACTAAATCGGCCTCTAACTTCTTAAACTCCATTGCAAGTTCCAGTTGTTCCTCGATCTTCGAATTCAGCTCCTCATTTTAGCCGAAATACTCAGCATTCATCTCCTTATCTGTTAATGGCTCGATTCTTCGACTTCGGCTTTTGTTTTCTTTAATTCGCTTCGAGTTCGACTCCCTCTGCCATGATTGTGTTCGTATGCATTCCACTTGCTCACTAAGTTTATTGCTATCCAGTTTGAGCTCTTCGTTTTCTCGGTTACACTCTGCAGCTTGATTTCTTTGGCTGTTAAATTCGCTTTCGATTCGACTAAGTCGGCCTCTAACTTCTTCAACTCCATTGCAAGTTCCAGTTGTCCTCGATATTCGAATTCAGCTCCTCATTTTAGTCGAAAGACTCAGCAGTTCAGTCTCCCTATCCAATAACTTGGCTCTCGAATCTTCGACTTCGGCTTTCTTTTTCTTAATTCGGCTCGAGTTCCGACTCCCTCTGGCATGATTGTGTTCGTATGCATTCCACTTGCTCACTAAGTTATTGCTATCAATTCAGCTCCTCATTTTTAGCCGAAGACTCAGCAGTTCAGTCTCCTTATCTGTTAAACTGGCTCTCGATTCTTCGACTTCGGCTTCGTTTTCTTTAATTCGGCTTCGAGTTCCGACTCCCTCTGCCATGATTGTGTTCGTATGCATTCCACTTGCTCACTAAGTTTATTGCTATCCAGTTTGAGCTCTTCGTTTTTCCGTTACACTCTGCAGCTTGATTTCTTTGGCTGTTAAATTCGCTTTCGATTCGGCTAAGTCGGCCTCTAACTTCTTCAACTCCATTGCAAGTTCCAGTTGTCCCTCGATCTTCGAATACAGCTCCTCGATTTCAGTCGAAAGACTCAGCAGTTTCAGTCTCCCTATCCAATAACTTGGCTCTCGAATCTTCGACTTCGGCTTTCGTTTTCTTTAATTCGGCTTCGAGTTCCGACTCCCTCTGGCATGATTGTGTTTCGTATGCATTCCACTTGCTCACTAAGTTTATTGCTATCCAGTTTGAGCTTTACGTTTTGCTCGGTTACACTCTGCTTGATTTCTTTGGCTTTAATTCGCTTTCAATTCGGCTAAATCGGCCTCTAACTTCTTCAACTCCATTGCAAGTTCCAGTTGTTCCTCGATCTTCGAATTCAGCTCCTCATTTTAGCCAGAACACTCAGCAGTTCAATCTCCTTATCCGTTGATTTGGATCTCGATTCTTCGATTTTTGCTTTCGTTTTCTTTAATTCGGCTTCGAGTTCCGACTCCCTCTGCCATGATTGTGTTCGTATGCATTCCACTTGCTCACAAGTTTATTGCTATCCAGTTTGAGCTTTTCGTTTTGCTCGGTTACACTCTGCAACTTGATTTCTTTGGCTGTTAAATTCGCTTTTAATTCGGCTAAATCGGCCTCTAACTTCTTCAACTCCATTGCAAGTTCCAGTTGTTCCTCGATCTTCGAATTCAGCTCCTTGTTTTTGGTCGAAAGACTCAGCAGTTCAGTCTCCTTATCCATTAATTGGCTCTCGATTCTTCGACTTTTGCTTTCGTTTTCTTCAATTCGGCTTCGAGTTCCGACGCCCTCTGCCATGATTGTGTTCGTATGCATTCCACTTGCTCGCTAAGTTTATTGCTATCCAGTTTGAGCTCTTCGTTTTGCACGGTTACACTCTGCAGCTTGATTTCTTTGGCTGTTAAATTCGATTTTGATTCGTCTAGATCGGCCTCTAACTTCTTCAACTCCATTGCAAGTTCCAGTTGTTGCTCGATCTTCGAATTCAGCTCCTTGTTTTAGTCGAAATACTCAGCAGTTCAGTCTCCTTATCCATTAATTTGGCTCTCGATTCTTCGACTTTGCTTTCGTTTTCTTTAATCCGGCTTCGAGTTCCGACTCCCTCTGCCATGATTGTATTCGTATGCATTCCACTTGCTCTCTAAGTTTATTGCTATCCAGTTTGAGCTCTTCGTTTTGCTCGGTTACACTCTGCAGCTTGATTTCTTTGGCTGTTAAATTCGCTTTTGATTCGGCTAGGTCGGCCTCTAACTTCTTCAACTCCATTGCAAGTTCCAGTTGTTGCTCGATCTTCGAATTCAGCTCCTCATTTTTAGCCGAAAGACTCAGCAGTTCAGTCTCCTTATCTGTTAAGCTGGCTCTCGATTCTTCGACTTCGGCTTTCGTTTTCTTTAATTCGGCTTCGTGTTCCGACTCCCTCTGCCATGATTGTGTTCGTATGCATTCCACTTGCTCGCTAAGTTTATTGCTATCCAGTTTGAGCTCTTCCTTCTGCTCGGTTACACTCTGCAGCTTGATTTCTTTGGCTGTTAAATTTGCTTTTGATTCGGCTAAATCGGCCTCCAACTTCTTCAACTCCATTGCAAGTTCCAGTTGTTGCTCGATCTTCGAATTCAGCTGCTCGTTTTTAGTTGAAATACTCAGCAGTTCAGTCTCCTTATCCGTTAATTGGCTCTCGATTCTTCGACTTCGGCTTTCGTTTTCTTTAATTCGGCTTCGAGTTCTGACTCCCTCTGGCATGATTGTGATCGTACGCATTTCACTTGCTCATAAGCGCTTCTGATTTGCAATGTGCTCCGAATATATTCTTCTTGATACCTTATCTCAGCATCCAATGCCGATCTCAATTTATCTGCTTCGAGTTTTGCGGATTTGAGCTCCGATTCGAGTTTCTCTATCTCCTCTTTTTCTCCGTTTTTGCTGCTACTGTTGACGAGTTCTTCCTGGAGCTTGCTCACGAGTCCCTCCAGCAACTTCACTCTATCTTTCGACTCGTCTAACTGGAGTGAGAATTTGTTGTAAGCTTTGGTCCCTTTGGCGGCATCGGACCGGAGCACGTCTACGGTTTTAGTTGCTGCTTCTAGTTGCATTTTGGTTTGTTAACAACTTCAATGGCCAGGTTTTCGGATTCTCTGCAATTAGTGATATCGAACTTGAGTTTTCGACCAAGGCGAGAGTTCTGGTGTGCTCAATCCTCAAGTTCTGAATCTCGGAATGTGCAGATTCAGCATGTTTAATTTGAATGGCTTCTGATTCATATGCCTTTTCTAGCTGTACTTTAAGCTTTTGAGTTTCATTCAAGGCAGAAGCCAAGACAGCAGAGTCCATCTTTTGCTGCTTCTGGACGGCCTCGAGTTCGGACTGCCACGCCCTGTCTCGGTCCTGTGAGATTTCCGGAGTTCTTGAACACGATCATCCTCGGAGGCCGAAATTTCCAGCAACTGCTGCTCGGATTCTTCGAGCTTGGCTGACATTTCCGATAGCTGTTTTTTGGCTTCCTCGGCCTCTTGCAGGCTCGCCTCTTCCACGACTCGGATGCAGTCGTTGGTCCTTCGTCTTTTTTCAGATCATCTTGAAGCTGATCAAGTCGTGCTTCGAGTTCGCTCGCTCGGATCGGACCCTTCTTCTAAGCTCAACGACGACATACAACATTCCGTCAATCATTGTATCCAATCCAGTAATAATGGAAAAACACATGCACAACTCATGGCAATAAGCCACTAGACTCATACCATTAAAAAATGACCAAGCAAATACCTCAGATACCGGACTACTCAATCCTTTACGCTCATCAACCTTCGGACTCCTCACTTTCTGTGTCTTACTAGCATGACTCGGCGATGAAACCGCTTCGGCATCGGATCCCGACATCTTCATTCGACGACAGTTCGAGCGCCGCCGAAGATTTTGTCCGAGTCACTTCTAAGGAGCTTGTTTTACTGTAAAAAAAACAATGGAATTCTATCACACAAGAGGCTCTTTCAAAAGATTGTAACAACTAGAACTGCGGGTCGAACGTCCATAGCTTAGTAACAACTTCATGATCAAGCAATCACCCACCTCAAAGAAACTGATGTTGCACCATTCTTCAAACACGTGTATATATATATATATATATATATATATGTATGTATGTATGTATGTATGTATGTATGTATGTATGTATGTATGTATGTATGTAAACTAATGAGAATCTTACCTTGTGTTAGGGGTCTGCATGATTTATGTATGTACCCACAGAAACTGCAAAACATAATCTGATGATATCAATAAAGAGGAAGAGCAAAGCCAAATGGCGTTGTGTATTCAAGGCCGCAGCCAACATTCAATCAGTACAGTTCCTTCAAAGAAGCTCCACACATACTACTTCCACTACCACCAACCAGAAACCAAACGCCATGATTAAGATTGAAGATAAAACAGAGCAAAAAATAACAAAGGTTGCCATCAAACAAGTTCACAAAATGTAATCATTTAAAATGAAATGAAATTTTTTTCATTCTGAAAGGAAAACAGAAAAAAAAACAGGGTATTGTTCGTCATCAGTGACCTCAAACATTAATGTCTAACGGAAAGCAAGGATTTAAATAGCGGTCCTCTATCGTAATAGCGCCATCATAGTTAAAGGTGCCATACGAAATCGTTATTGCATTATTGTGATTCCCGTAATTACTGTAACACAGCTGTTATTGCCGCGATAAACGTAACCCAACTGAAAATATGATCGTGACCGTAATTTGATCACCGACCGAAAGGATGCCAGAGATTAAAACAGAGATGGTTTTACCTGAAGGATGCCAGATTAAAAGGCTTGGAAATAATGAACACTGAAAGAAGAAACAAGGATGGTTAGTTAAAGGCGCTTGGCTCATAGGGACGTTTACCTGTACTGGAGATGGTGATTCATTAGGATGGTTAGTTAAAGGCGCTTGGCTCATAGGACGTTTACCTGTACTGGAGATGGTGATTCATTAAAGCACCACGCTCCTTTCTCACACGCTGGCGGACGCTCCCCACTCAATTATTTTTTGGTCCCTTAGATTTTTTAAAATTTAAGACTTAATCATTTTTTTTCAATTCAATATAATTTAGATTTTAATACTTTTGGGTAAATATTCATGTAGGATCGAGTCACGAATGAGTTTTTCATAAAAATTAGATAAATTCAGAACATGTGAAACCTTCTTAAATTCAAATCAAATCGAAACTCTAAAAAAAAACTACACTACTTGGGTTGGAGTAGGATTAATCGAAAATACGACACGTGATCGTCCTTAGTTATAATAGTTGGTTATTTATTAAATATTATAGAAATAGATGATTAATTATGTTAAATTAAAATATAAGGATTAAATGCTAAATTAAGCATAGTATAGGGATTAGATCAATAATTTGACCATTAACCATGATTCCTTGGCTGTTGAGGCTCATTGTCCCTGTCCCAAAATAGATTTATGTCTACTCAATTTCTTTCGTTTTCTTTGAAAACTCCAATTACTTAATCTCTCCCGTAAATTGCAATCAAAGCATATAAACTACTTGATTCCTCCGTCAATGGCATCATTCTAAGAGCTTAGCGGTAGTCCAGGACGGGTCGAGAGGTTAACGAAAGCGATCGTTTTCTTAAAAAAATTAAATTTTTTTTTATATATTTTAGATATATTTTTTTAAAATTTTTATTAATAATTTATTTTTGTTCCTTAAAATTTTAGAATTTATAAGTTCGTTTCTTGATATAAATTTTGTATCACATCCATGACGATAATATCATATTTCCTTTGAACCTTCCTCTATGGACAGTTGTGAGATATAGATGCAGTAAACATGGAATTCTCATGTGCATACCCTTCTTATTTAGGGCATCTTGTTTGATATGGTCCCCATAAAATGCACCATTTGTGGGGGTTGGGGACCATATTGCTTATTTCACTTAAACATTTCCCTATCAAAGGTGAAATAAAACTGCCCACCAACATTTTGTTAGCTCTCATGTGAGCAAAATAAATCAAGTTTTTGTATTTAAAGAATTTTAAAGCAACAGCCCATATCTTGTATACTCAATCAATGACATGGATTCTTAGTGGGATTCCAATTATTAGATGGCACGAAGATTATATATGTCTTGCATTGTAATTAAACCTTCCTCTAAAATTTAGGGTAAATTACACGTTTAGTAATTAAGCTATCAGTTTTGTTCATTTTTAGTACCTAAACTTTTAATTTTTTTAAAAAATCATGCCTAAAGTTTAGTTTTTGTTTCATTTTAGTACCCCCGTTCAAAATTTAACTTTAAATTTTGAAGAAAAAAATGAAAGTTTCGGCACTAAAATGGATCAGGAACTAAACGCGTTTAAATTTTTAACAATGGGTACTAAAATGAAACAAAAGCTAAACTTTAAGTATGATTTTGAAAAAATTAAAAAATTAGATACTAAAATGGACCAAAACTAATAATTTAGATATTGAATGTGTAGTTTACATACTAAGATTAGTGGGATTCCAATTATTAGATGGCACTAAGATTATATATGTCTTGCATTGTAATTAAACCTTCCTTTTCTTTCTCATCTATTTAAGGATACAAGCTAAAATTTAGGGTAAATTACACGTTTAGAATTAAGCTATCAGTTTTGCTCATTTTAGTACCTAACTTTTAATTTTTTTAAAACCATATATAAAAGCTTAGTTTTTTTGTTTCAATTTAGTACTCATGTTCAAAATTTAACTTTAATTTTTTTAAAAAAAAATTGAAAGCTTCGGTACTAAAATGGACCAGGAACTAAACGCGTTTAAGTTTT